CTTAACAGATGAACAGTGTGGTGCAGCATCTGCTGAGTCATTACATCAAGCCCAACCAGGATGACTCAGATGAGAAACTACCTCTCATCGCCAGCCTGTACAATAATGCTGTACACAGCACCACCGGCGTCAGTCCTAATCAACTGCATCTGGGATGGAAGCCTAAATCTGCTCTAGACTTCCGCCTGCCTGAAAACCGAACTGCTGCAACTCCTGGAACCATTGAATTTGGTGTCCAGTATGAGAAATTGTTACAGCAGACTGTCGAACACATCAAGCAATCTCAGGAAGCTATGATTGCTTCCGAGAACAAACGTCGCCGACAGTCCACATTTCAGGTAGGGGAGCGTGTCTGGGTCAAGGCGAGTGAGTTGGGACAGGAGTTTGGAATCTCTAGGAAACTAATGCCTCAGTATTTCGGACCCTGGGAAGTCTTAGACATTGTGGGGAATGATTTGGATGGTCCCTTGTACGTCATTCATATCCCTGGTCACCTACCCACATACCCTGTTTTTCACGCCTCCAAGCTTGCACCTTTCACGGAGACAACACAGTTCCCATCACGGAGATCTATGCTGCCCCCAACCATGGATGGCCACGTGGACGTCGATGTCATCCTCGATCACAAAGACAAGCCTGTTCCCAAGCCACCCGGCAGGGGGAGACCTCCAAAACCTGCAAGGGAATACAGAGTACATTTCGGGCATCATACCGATCCTAAAGAAGATCGATGGATTTCAAGGGAGGAACTGGTCAAGAGAGCTCCTCAGATCATGGCAGGTTATGAGAAGAAACTGAAGGGGAAGGCACCAGCATGAAGCATCTCAGTGGACTTTCGAAGCTAAGGGGGATGGAATGTGAGGAACGAGCCCTCAAGTGGCCCTATCAGACATCTCATGTTCTAGGCTAAGGCCCCAGCAAGCCGAGTGCCTGCCCTAAGTGAAGACGGGCCTGAATATTCCTCGAAAGCCAAATTCTGACATTTCCATATGTGGGTATTCAGGCTCTCGCAGCACGCCAGTTGGTTAGTCCCTGCAGCCCGAACGAATTTGGCACCTTGGCCTGGATTCCAGTCAATATTATGAATCAAAGTACCCACTGGTATATATGCTAATTGTACGCAATTTCCCAAAGCTTGCGTGCTTTATCAACTTGCTCGATTGATCAAAACTTGTAAAAAAAAAAGAGAATTCATAATGGCTTTTAGTCCACCGTTTGAAATGAAACAAGCCGCTTCTCAATTTATCACACGTACTATGTCTTATGTTTTCCTTCTTTCGTACCTTCTGCTTTTACCACGCGATATTTGGGTACCTAGGAAGAAGAATCTGGAATCAATATGTTGGTAATATTGGAATGTAATCATTATCTACAACTAAGAAAATTTCCAGCAAAAAGATAAGTCGAATAATTCCACCTACAGGCAAATAACGTAATACATACTATCAAAAGTAAGTGATCGTTCATCAGAAGTATTATAATCTGAATACTCATAAGTGCATGGGTCCTGGGGACCATCTCACGCAGATGTGTACATGTCATGCATCATCTTCACACGCAGTGATCAATAGTCTCAACCATAGACAAAGGTAGAGAAGAAGAGGACCGAGTCTCACAGCTTATATTATCAGAAATATGATTACAAAGTGTTTCAAAGTTCCCCTGAGTCCAACGCTCATCAGCGCAACACAAATCTCTGCTCAACTCATCAATATGTCTTCCAAGGCATCAGCGCTACCTCTGCAGATTGTCTCCTGGTCATCAATATGGTCACAACTCATCAGCGCCAACTCTGCAGTTCACAACCAACTCAGGTAAGTGTCTCCCATAACCAAACCTTGAATGAACACTCTTCGTCTCAATCTCTTCCTCCTACGATGCATGCACACACTGTTCTCACAAGGATCTACTCCGGATACTACTCATAGCTAAGTACTAACCCTTCTACTCTACTTACTAACTCGCTGGGCAGCTATGGCTGCATCCCTTCCAGCGCACAGTCTTCTTCTTCCCTCTTAGCGCATCTTCCTTCCTCGAGCGCTACTCCTACTGACTAACGCACAAGTGCACCAGCACTTCCACGCATTCAAGCCAGTGGAGATCTGGCGAGGAATGAGGCAGGCAGCTCCCTTTATTGTGCTGGCCACTCCTCGCTGGGTCTGCATTGGCTCAATTCGGCCTTTCCTTTGTCCCAGACCCTGCATTGCATGTGTCCCAGTAGAGTTCCAATGAAGTTCAACTGCTGCTGAGGCCTCTCGGCCTGTATTTGGACTTGAAAGTCTGGATCTGGACTGACCCCTTGACTTAGACCAGAACTAGGACTGTGCCTATTGACTTTATTTTCGGACAGGCACAACTCTCAACGAACAGACACATTTACTGCTTGAACAGACACTTTCCTTTGCACGAACAGGTACACTGCCTGCACGTACAGACACACTCTTACCCGAACAGACATGACATACACATCTCCTGGTGAACAGGTAAGTCTTTTGACAATGCCCTTTGCTTTAGATCTAGATGTAACTGATGATAGAGAACTTGACCTTTGACCTGCTTTCACGTTTCTGAGCCCTGGCGAGATACCTTTTCACAATGCTTTACTTTTACAAGGCCCGAGCTGCTTTACTTTTACAAGGCCTGAGGCCTATATCGGGTAAAGGCCCTTTTATAAGTCCAATACCATTGATGTCCAATCACTTTGATAGTAATTGCAGGATCTACTACCTCATCCATGGAATATAATAGAGCAAATGATGGTATTGCAATGAACATTAGTATGATACTAGGAAAAATAGTGTTGGTTTCCTGCAGATTATCCATTGCATATTGAAATTCATTCAATAAATAGGTTAGGACTTTCCCGCATATAGTGAAGTAATAAGGTCAGAGATTACTCGTCTGACACGGCAATGATGAGTTTACCACTTTCATCGGCGAACAACCGAACCCTTGGAACCTCGACCTTCCACCATTACTGATGGGGTAAGACTATGGGTAGACACGTGAGCCTCACTAAGCTGCGTCGTACAGTTGGCCCAGGCCTTGACAGTTACGCCTGGGCACATACACACAAAGCAGGGCCAATACATTGAGAAACAGGCCACCGGCCTTTCGAAAAGCAGTACTGCCGACGCACCTACCTGGGAGCCCTGCACAGATGCAGCAAACAGCCCAAGTCCGGAGACTCAGGGCGTGCCGAACTGAAAAGGGCCCAGGCCCTCAACTGTAGTCTCGGGCCTGGGCGCAGGGTCTGAGGCCCAACCGGAAGCTACTGGAAGCTTCCAGCCAGGCCACATGCAGCATCCAGGAGGCTGCCACTTCCAAAAAGAAGTGAGGTAGCCCAGGCGAACTATTCTGGCCAGTGCAGGCAATGCGGAAGTGCTGCTGTGCTATCGCTTGATGCTGCGCTGCTGGCAAGGGCGCTGACGGGGCGCATAGCGGTGAAGTGGGGCGCTGCAGGGCAGCGGGGTGCAGGCAGCCATAGCCGGGCTGCTGGCCGCCAGGGGGGTAATGCGGGCGATCGGGTGGTCTTCAGGGAAGGAGGCGAGTGTGGGGTAATCAAGGTCTGACTGAGGGTGACGAGATACGTACCTGGTTCATGAAGAGAGGTCGGCTATGATGTTGACAGTCATGTGCATTGGTCTTTGAGAGTCGAAGTGAGCCTGTTGCGTGGACCAGCTGTAGGTAGGATAGTCGGGTAGAGTAGGCTGGGCGCTGGGCGCCAGACAGAGGGGAGCGACTTTGGATACTGTGTTGGTGCGGCCTACGGGCTTGAACATTGGCTCATTACGTCATTGTATTGCTCTATATGGATGGTTTCTCGGTGCATTTTTGTACTCTCTGCTTGGACACGACTACCTGGACATCTGTGTGATTTCGCAACTTGGTTTTCTGTATATCGTTCACACTCATATTCCTTGCACAGGGAGCCACTTTGAGGAAAGTCCTTCATCATCAGGGAATATGATAGATATACAGGCCGAACACAGCAGCGCCCGTGATAGTGTTGCAGATTCCTCTGAGTTCGAACCGACTCTTTGGCGCATCTCAAAGGTGCTGCACTTGGACACTGAGTAGAACACAGGAAGAGGCGACAACTGCACAGTTCAGACGGAGTAGACAAGATGACAGAAACACTTACGAGAAAAGGGGGAACTAAATTATATAGAGGCTGCTTGTGTGTGTGTGTGTGTGTGTGCATAGGTGCTTGAGTCCATACATGGGAGTTTGTATGTCTGTGTGTATGCATGTGTGTGCTTGGAAAGTAGTTGTGTGTGCATGCTTCTGTTGGGTGAATATAACAGAAAAAAAAATCAAACACTAACACTGTTGAAACCAACAATGTATTGCAAGTTTGCAACCGATAATCAACAAAAACAACAAGACTTAACACAAACATGAAGAAAAGTAAAGATAAGCGGCATTCAGCACCTGGCAGTCCACGTGGGAAAGATTGAACACAAATGGCTCAGCAAACCCACAACTGACGTGGCCCTGCGAAGTGCAAGGGGCCGACCTAGCAGGCCTGGACATCGGATCAGTTTCCTCCTTCAAGGGATTGGGGATTATTATCGGGATGCCTTGCTGGGAAAAATGCATTCATCTCACTGAGACAGGAATATCGTTTTCTTGGTGCTCATGATGGTAAAAGAAATCTTTATGTAGAACTTGTCGTTGAGTATTCGTCATGCTCAAGCACAGTTGGCTGTTGCTCTCTGCTCCTCCTCCTCCTCCTCCTGCTGCTGCTGTTGCTGTTCCTTGTGTACTGTTTTCGATCTTGCAGGCAGACCTTTGCAATGCTCTTTGCTGACATTGATCTGTGATTTGGCTGTCCGTTGGACTTTGTGGTTGGTTTGTCGGTCTGAACAGTTTTTTTTTTTCTTGTTTTTTTTTTTTTTCCGGTTTTGATACACTGGAGTTACTCTTCCAAGTGCTGCTTTTTTACGGGGAAATGTTTATGCTATCAAGCTTGGCTCGCTACTGCAGTTAGTTTAGATGAGGCCAGTCCTTTCTTGGGAGTGTGCCTCTCGTTATGCTGAACGGTATGCACTGCTGGAGGAACAATTCAAGTATAGTAGTAGAAGCCTTCCTCCATGCAATTAGATGTGAAGTGGTCTCCCTGTCTTGGTTCCAGAGCACCAAGTTTGGGCCCTGTCTGAGGGAAAAGAGCTCTGATAGCTGACCTCTATCCTTTAGCAGAGGTGTCAGAATCATGACAGTTATTCCTTTCAACTCTTGTATTTGAGAATGCTTGGGAGGTGTAGACTGATCAGTCTGCCTGACAGCTGAAATAAGCTGTAAAAACCCTGCTGCTTGGGAGGCGTAGACCATTGAACTCTTGTTGGGTGCTATTCCATGGGGACTGACAATTAGGAGTGGTTGTGGAGTACAGACAGGCGAATGAAGATGGGAAGCAACAAGGAGAAAGATCCGCTTGTTTTGTACCTTTCCTCTGTCAATGCTCGGCAGTGTGGGTCTATCGTGGCAGACCTCCTCACTCTTGGAGTCTGTACCCGGTGTGTTCTGCGCTTTTTCGGTGTATACGACAGCCAGGTGTATAGATGTGCTCCTGGGGACCCACGAGTGGTTCTCCGTCGGTTGGCCTTCATCAAGGCAAAGAAGGGTGATGGTGTAGTGGTCAAGACTGGGAAGAAGACAGAAGCTCAAGGTGGTGCATGTCTGGAATCGCCAGCTGAGGTGAAAGATGAGGGGGTGGGGACGAGTCCAACCAAAGGGGCAACGGTGGCAGGAGTTTGTGCTTCCCTCTCTGAAGGTAGTCCGACTCGTTTCGCTGAAAGTAGCACATATGATCCTGGTCTTGTGCATGAAACTGGTAATGGAAAAGATAGCTCTGAGAAGGAGGCCGAAACGGGAAACAGCGCGGACTGTGTTGAAGAAGTGCGTACAGTGCAAGGGAAGGCCAAGGCTGGCATTGAAGGTGACGGTGACCAGATGAAGAGGATAAAGGCTGTGGCATCATCATCAGGCATTGTCTGCCCTGCCTGCCTTGGTGTGCTGCAGAAAGTCGCTCCTGTTGCTGATGGCGACAAAGCAACAGACAAAGCGAGGAGCGAGGGAGAGGCATCCAGAAAGCTGTCGTTAGAGGAGAAGAAGACAAAACGAGGTACGCCGAGGGCCAAAACGAACTTGGGTGTCGTTGAGTGTCAGCGGATTGGCAGAGATGGGAAGGATGTCAAGGATGGAGAGAATGGAAATGAACAAGCGGAAGAGGGTCCACAGAGCGTGAAGAAGGTAGGAAAGGACCAGGAGTGCAGGCAGGCACAGGAAGAGATAGATGGTAGATCTGAGGAGCATTTGAAGAATCAGAAGTTGCAGGGAAACGATGGACTGGAAACTATTGGCAACGTGCCTGCATCCAATGCTGCGGGAACCTGGGATGAGGATATTGTGAAGATGGTGGCAGCTGTCAGAAAGGAAGGTCACAAGTTCAAGACCTTCCAATTGGAAGTTATTCTCCCGTCCGTTTTGACACTTAGGCAGTGTTGTTTGTGGTATTATCTTTGCTCGGACAACTACACAAAGAAGTTTCCTCATGCCACAGAGCTCTTCAAAGGTCCCAAGGCATTGCTCGAGACGCTTGTGTCCGTGAAGGACGCGGTGAAGTGGACTTTGAGTAGCCACTTGGAAAAGGCTCTGGGATGTCGCTACGACACAGATCCCGAAGGTAAGATATGCTTGACATATTCACACAGAGATTCATTTCAAGAAGTTGAGAACTTTCTGGAGGCTTGTGGAGGTGTTGGGAAACGGAGAAAACATGCCCGGGAGTATGAGAGATACGACCGACAGAAGGTAGGAGGAACATCTGTGAAAGAAGGTGGAAGTGAGATGTTAGACGAGGGTGACGGAGAAGATGGGCGAATGCATGAGAGGGAAAGGGACTTTGAGGAGGAGTGCTTGGCAAGCGTGCACCGCGGGATCGAGTCGACAAACATGCAGACTTTCATGCGCATCTGTCAGTGTCCCCCAAAGTCGTTAGCGGGAACCTGTGCGCTTTCAGTGACCTGTCAGCGGTTTCCTGTCTATATAGGGGGTCGATACTTGAAGCTAAGAAGGGGTATTCCGCAGAGTCCGTGGTCAGTGGATGGAGAGAGGGTGGGTGAGCCTTCAGTGCAGGAAAGGATTGCTGATGTTGTGTTCCCCACGTATAAGGCAGATTCATATAAGTTTAATGCCGCAGGCAGAGAGGATATGGATGTTCGGATGATTGGGAAAGGTAGGCCCTTTGTCATGGAAATCGTAAATGCGCGACAAATCCCTTCTCCCTCCTCAATTGCGTCGATGGAGAAAGCAATCCACGAGGGGGATGGTGGGGGAAAGTGGGCGCCACGTGGGGTTGCGGTGATAGGACTCAGAAGTATGACTCCTGATGCGTATGCTCTTGTCAGGGAGGCAGAGTCAGAGAAGCAGAAGTCGTATTGTGCGGTCGTGTGGCTATCTCGGCCGGTGACAGAAGATGACATAACGAAGCTCAATTCCATGCCAGCTGTCACGATACAGCAGAGAACACCAATAAGGGTACTCCATAGACGAAGTCCACTGGTCCGTCCTCGAGTTATTGAGAAGATGATAGCGAAAGCGATTCCTGGCCAAACAAATTATTTGAAACTGACATTTGACACTCAGGCAGGGACGTATGTTAAGGAATTTGTTCATGGCGACATGGGCCGGACACAACCGCACTTGGGGGAAATCCTGGGGTGTGAAACAGACATTCTCAAACTAGATGTCACAGAAATCAAGATGACCTTTGTCTGAGGCAGCACCTAAATGACAAGTTTTTGAGTGAACAGCTCATCACTTTGTCAGTAGATTGCGAGAAGGGGAGAGCTTCGCAAAACAAAGCGCCAGTTGTCTGCAAACTCTTACGTTATATTCCATTCTGGCTAGATTGCTATGCTCTACTTCTTAATCAGCAGTACCGTCACCTGTCCGGAGGAAATGGCTTGTGATCCGGCGACGATTGAAGGAGGTCTATGCCAATGAATCAATGGCGGCTGTTACAGGGCCACAGGAAATGGGGACCCTCGTTTCCCATGTGCCGAATGCTATCAAGTGCAGGGCTGTTGTGGAAGGAACCTGCGATCACTGTCATCGCCGCTCTTTCAGCTCACGGATCACTGCTGCTTGGATGCTTAGAGAAACCAGCTTCTTCAGTGGCTTGGACAAACGTTGTTCGGTTTCCGCAGGAAACGAAAGCTTTCTTCAGGTGGTGTCCCTCCCCATACACACTTGATTCTCTATCTTCAGAAGGTCAGCAGATATCTTGCGAGGCTCTAGTCGGGTGTCAGCGGAATTCTGCGGGGTGCTGAAAGAAAGCCTTCAGGCCATTGCGCTCCAACGCAAAGGCTCCCAGCTGAGCCTCCCAATTCACCAGCTGAGCCTGTCAATCTGGAGCAGGAGGAGAAAAAACAGGTCATTTGGTGTCTTTGAAGACAAGACCATGTGCTGTCTTCTAAGTCCAGTCCAGAAGGAGACGAAACGTGATCCTTTTGACAGCATACTCGTTGTAATTGTGGCTGGATACATCAAGGTCTGACTGTAAATCCGGTCAGATACATTCAAGGTAGAGGGAGTGTACGTATGTCCGGACTCCTGCCCGACCTTTAGAGGTGCTGCATGCACAAGCATGAGTGGAATTGCAGCGATGCACAAACATCGTTTTGCAGCACTACCGTCTTCACCCGAATAGAACGCCCCATCATTTTGCTGTGCTTGGGGCAACTTTTAGTCTATATAGATACAGTGATAATGACTGGGCATTCTCTTCGGGTGAAGATGGTAGCCCAATACCCAGTTGTGAGGCACATGAACATTGAACGCATGCAGGTTGATCTTCGGTTGTTACACTTGAACGACATCTTCCATTTTCACTTGGAGTAGTGGTCTCAGATGTGGAACTGGTCATGCAATCTAGTTCTGCCAGCCATGGGTATGGGATTCCGAGGCTGTGGCATCCAAACATCGGCCTGGTTGCACATGCATTTGTGGACCTGCTGCCACGTTTTGGGACCCTGTCATTGGACCACGTTTAGGAACAGTTGTGGGACCACTTTGTAGGCCTTGTTGTACAGTTGCGGAAACCCCTTTTGAACCCAGCTATTTTTCCCAAGTATGGTGACATTGTTGTGTTTCAATGTAGCCAACCCAGTTGTTTTACCCAGCTATGCACACAGTAGTGGAAATTTTTCCCCTATCGCACGCCGAGGGGTTTTGTGGTACCCCATGTTGTGTGCTCTGGTTTTCGAGTCCAATCGATTAACCCATTCCATTCCCATGCCACACTGCAGAATTTGAACGAGGGACCCAATTACAGGACACGTAAATACCCCCTGGGGGCAAACCACACCCTTGACACTTCTGAGTTTGAGGGGTTATCGCTGACCCTTGATACTGTACTGGTATGGCTAAGCAAGTTTCTGAAAAATGTCTGGCCAATCAAATGAGGACCGCGTTTTTTTCCTTTTTTTTCCTTTCTTTAAAATCAAACTACCCCTGTTAGAGCTAGAGGCGCTGGTATGAGCAGACGCCCCTATCTCCCCTGGGAAGGCTCCATCTATTGGTTGGGAGCTGGACCTGCTGGAAAACGAGTCCAGCGTCCCTTATACAAAGGCCATTGAGATCCATCTGAGCTTTCTGCCCAAGTGCCTGCCAGCATTGATTTCCCTGAAAACAGGGGATTGACTGAGCAGGAGGATGAGTGCCCAAGACGGGAGGAAGAAGAGGGGGCCTCTTCATCCCTGTTGCTGGGCGCCTGAACCACATGACCGACTGGCCCCTATCCTCCCTTTCAGATGCGGCCATCATGCCGAACAAACACATAAAAGGTAGGCTTAAAAAGATAAAACAAAAAGGTGCCTGCCAGCATTGATTGCTCTGGGCACCAGAGGATTGACTGTGCAGGCTTACCGGAGGAAGAATTATCTGCCCCTTGCTAGCAAACTGCCTCTGAACACCCTTCAGCCCATGACCCAACCTAAACTGCCCCGTACCACTTCAAATCCACCATAGAGAGGCTATGGGGTGGAAAGGGGTTGGGGAACGCCACAGGGGAGCGCAGTGGACCGTTTTTTTGCTATGCCTTGGTTATATTGGGATAGTTCTTTTTGGTCTGGTTGTGAGATTTTTCCTACAGGCTGCTGCTTTCAATGTGGTTTCACTGGATTTCCTGGATGCATCTGACCGCAATTGCAGCCGGACCAGGATGTATCTGTTCGGGATTATCTGCAGAGCTCATGCGTTTATGTTGAGATAGTTCTTTTCAGACCACGCATTTTGAGATTTTGCCTAAGGCTGCTGATTTCAATGTTTTTTTTCACAAACACACTGAAGCTCATGTGGTGACATTGGGATAGTTCCTTTTGGACTACATGTGAGGTTTTGCCCAACGCTGCTTCTTTCAATGTGTTTTTTTTTCACACACACTGGACTTCCTGGATACATCTAACCGCAATTACAGACGGATCAGGATGTATCTGTTCGGGATTATGTGCAGAGCTCATGCACAAAAGTCCTACTGTGAGTATGCCCTCAATGTGGCTTTTACATTACAGCCCACATTGGGGATGCACCCGGACTCTATATGGGGAGCCATCTTGGGCACTTTCTCATGGTGTTCTTGAATGTTCTTCTTTGTCTCTATACAAGAGTGGCCATTTTCCTCTTGCATGTCAAAAACCAACAGTATGGTGGTTTTATAAAGTACCAATCTACTGCACAGGGAGGACTCTTTAAGCGGCAGATTGACAACAGGTTCTAGGACTAATGAAGAAAATCATCACAGCAAAATTGAAGTTAGAACTTCAGCCGCACATCGTCCAACTTGTCTCGTGCCGTTCATCTTGGTTATGCCATCTCTCTCTCTCTCTCTCTCTCTCTCTCTCTCTCTCTCTCTCTCTCTCTCTCTCTCTCTCTCTCACGCGCGCGCGCGCGCGCACACACACACACACAGGTTGAGTGGGTGTGTAGAGTGGGTTTTATGACTGCCCAATTAGTTTCTCAGACTTACTACCGTTCTTGTCAAGGGTTTGGACTGGAAGTCTGCTAGGATTGCAAGGTTGGTGTGAGTGAAGTCAACCAGTTTTCTGAGGGGTGTCGCTAACTCTGGGCGATGTGGTGAGTCCTTATTGGGGTTCAACCTCCTGACGAGTCGGTGAAAGTCCTACGAAACAGTCCGGCACAGTCATACTTTTTTTTAGTGTATAGCGAATATGACCACACACACACACACACACACACACACACGCACAGGCTATTGATTTCATTCAGTCCTGCATTCCGGCCCCTCCATTCCATTCCTTCCTCTATTCACTTCCATTCTCTTTCGCCCGTTACCATTCGCTTCTCTTTCCTCCCTTCCTTCCGTGCGCAGTAACAGGAAAATTCATGTGCGAGAATAGGTCTGCTCTGCTAACACGTTCACCCTATCTATAGCAAGGATATGACCACAAACCGATCTCCGTCAAGAGCAGACCACATAACCGAGCAGCCCTCCTGGCTGAAGGTCACCGCAAAATGCACAAGGACAGGACGTCAAATGGTGGGCACATTGCAATCAGTGCCAATCACTATCAGATTGCTATCAGTCGTCAGCGAGTAGACCTGTAACAACAGCTGCACCCGTTCTATGCTAAGCAATTATGATTGCCTCCCCCATTCCGTCACCCCTGAAAGAAGATTCCCCCCCCCCAGCTATGGAGCCTTCCCTCTAGGAAAGTCACAGCAAGCAAAGAACGCCGCCGTCTTGAACACCTCGCAATCCTAAAATCCTTCTGCAGAATCTCTCCGTCACAATCTCTTAACAACCCACTAGCAGGCAGTTTTCCACTCGTGCAAAGCGAACTACAGGCACCATGACTGTAACCGTGTCGTTTCTTCGAGGACACTGTGCACCTCGACATGTCTAGCATACAGAGAGGAATTCTTCTTGCCAAAAGATGTGCGAGGGCCATCAAGGTATACGACTCTTTGAGTATGCCACGTCAGTGGGATGCCTACTTCATCAACTGGAGGGAAGGTGAGTATGCTACGACTCTTTGAATATGGTACACAAGCCGGAAGCAAGACTCTGTTCACAGAACCCTCAGAACGTCATCTCCGGCTACCGATATGCCACTAGTACTTTACCCAGCTATCAAGTCCGACCCAGCTATCAAGTCCGACTCTTTGAATATGGTACACC